GGCCTGTCGGGCTGAGGAGAGCGTCTGCTGAAACGGAAATCCAGAGCGAGAGTTAGTTCCCAAGGCTCCTCCCTCCTCTCAGGGCCTCTCTAGCTGGAGACTGACAGGAGCAAAAACCAACCGGTAAAGCCCAAACAAACAGAAACAGCTTCCAGCCCTTAAGCCAAACTCCCTGGCAGGTGTCAGGAATTGTCCTGCCACCCCCACCCACAGGCGAGCCCACCCCCAGGTGCCTCCCCTCCTCGCCCCCTCATTCCTGATTGTCTGACTCAGCTCGGGCCTGAGGAGGTACGACGGGCAGGTGTGCAGGCCTTGTCAACTGGGGCGGCTCATCCACAGAACATGGAGTTACGTGAATGACAGTATTTTCAATTCTCCCACAGATGGCACATACTGTCACCATTCCTGACCGGGGAGGGCAGGATCCACTCCCCACAGGGGTGCCTGCCAAGGCCTCAGGGTTCCGTTCTCGAGTGCCGAGGCCGGGACAGTTTAGGGCTGACCCGGATGGTGCCTGTAACTCCAGGTTGCGGGATCAGCCTGGCGGCAGAGGCTGGGTTAGGACTGCATGGAGCCTCAGCAGTGGGGTACAAGCCACTGGGGGGTTTAACGGGCAGACCCTGAAGGCCTGGGGTGGCTGCAGGGCAGGGATGCAGCTGCCCAGCCTGCACGAGAGGACTCGGGAAAATGCTGTTCAGTAGTCTGGGCTTTATCGGGCAACAAAGGGAAAAGGTCATGAGTAAGTTACAGCAAGATGAAAAAATTCAAAAGGATTCTGAAAGAATAAAGATAAAACACGTTGAGCCTGACTTAGAGATTCTGAACCGCACTCTGCTCATCTGATTGTTACAGAGAACAGTCTGTGACCACTCACTGGCCGCTTCAAACTCTTCAAACCAGCGATCGCCAACCGGTGTGAAAGGTCAGACCATCACCACCGACACCAGTTAATAAGACAGTAACGTGATCCTGACAGCTGGAGTTCAAGGTGCTTCCTACTGAGGTTCTTTTACTATGTTCTTGTTGGGGCCGCTTCTCTCCTCTGCTGCTCAGACCTGCCCACAGGCCACTGGCAAGCACAGGGTCCTCCGTGCCATGGAGGCCTGAGCCCACGCAGAGCAGGCTGGGGGTGGTCCCACTTGTTCTGTGGCTGCAGCAGTTAAATACCAACTCACCCTGTCCCTTCACGTCTGTGAGCAGCCTTTCCACCAGCATCCCAAAGGCGTAGGCGTCCCGTGCGTGCCCGTGCAACTCTGGCAGAGTCGTGAATTCTGGAGCCTAGGAGCAGGGGAGGCCGTTAAAACCATTGCTCTCCCTGTTTTGCATTTACTACATTTAGAGCTAACCAGAGGCTGCCACACTCCATTTTACAGGCTCTTAATGGCTGTGGCTTTCAAAATAGGTTTGACAGCAACCCAGAGTAAACAATACATATTTTATTCAGTAGAGGCCAGATGCACGAAATTCGTGCAAGGAGCTTGGCCCTCGTAGGCCTGGCTTCGTCCGGAAGGTCGTTTGGCTGTCAGTCTAATTAGCATATTACGCTTTTATTATTATAGATTATCATCAGTATACACATACGTATAAATACATAATGGAAATAAAAGTTTTATACAACAGTACTAAACCTTGCTACCTACCTAAGATGCCCAATGATATTTTCTATCCCCCACCATTCCCCGCTAGTTAGAGCCCTTAAATTGATTTAAAACCCACCTATCATCAGAAGAACACATAATACTGACTTGGATAACCCTGATTTTTTTCAAGTGTTAGGTTTCTATTTAAGTTTGTTTTTCTAGTTGGGTTTGCATTTCCTGTAAAGCACCTGCAGACGTGCTTTGGGGATCAATATTTGTTTACAGTGGTCGTAAGAACAGGTCTAGAGAGCAACTGCTTCGACTTCACAGGTAAGTATAGTTTTCTTTACCAGCACACAGATGCAATGATCACTCTGCATCTCGGATTCCTAAGTGATGGCCAGCCAGGCCAAGCTATCTTGTCCAAACTGAGGCCCCTCCTTTTTTTTAAATCACAGTTTATATTCCACATTATTCTGTGTTACTGTCAGGTGTACAGCACAATGGTTAGACAATCACATACTTCACGAAGTGATGCCTGATATGCTAGGACCCGCCTGACACATACATCGTTACCGCAATACCACTGACTGTCTCCCCTGCTGCACTTGACATCCTGTGACTATTCTGCAACTACCAATGTGTACTTCTTCATCCCTTCACCGTTTTCACCCAGCCCTCACCCCCCTCCCCTCTGGCAACCTGCAACCATCAGTCTGTGTTTTGTATCTATGAGTCTGTTTCTATTCTGTCTGTTTATTTTGTTCTTTGGATTTCACTTATCAGTGAGCTCCCTCCATCTTTAAGCAATGTCACCAGTGTCTGTAGGACCAAAATGTCAGCCGAGTGTCAAGAAAAGGCTGTCTGCGGGTGATGAGATACCCTCAGAAGCCTTCGAGGCCACAGGAATTTCAGCCTCTGTAATTCAGCAAAGGAAGGGGTGGGCGGAGAAGGGCTGTTGTGAAGTGTCACACTCGCTACACAAAGGGCATGTAGCATCTTACCGTCTCTTCAGGAGGGATACAAGCCGGGTCTCTCACTGACTGAATGCTCCGCAGAAACTAGACCGAAATAAAGTACAGAGAGGGATTCATGTGGATGTTTGGTGAACGAATATGGCATCAAGTGACAAAAGCCACAAGCAATGGAAACAGTAGCCACGACACCATCCAACACCGCCACCCATCAAATACACACATTCAACTTCCTCACTGAAAAAATGTCAGTTCCATCGTTCCTCTTCGGCTGGTCTACCAGACACCCTTGCCGTCCCACATGGAAACAAACCCAGAACCTTCTCTCCTGCACGGACATAAACCAGTGAGAGGCTCCCCAGCAGGGGGATCTGTCACCCATCTTCTCACTGCATCGAGTCAGTTGTAAGGTTCGCTGCCATGTGATCTATAAAAGTTGAGGATCTTGCCTGGCCAGCGTGGCTCAGTGGTTGAGCATCGGCCTATGAACCAGGAGGTCACAGTTTAATTCCTGGTCAGGGCACATGCCCAGGTTGTGGGCTCAACCCCCAGTGTGGGGCTTGCAGGAGGCAGCCAATGATTCTCTCATCATTGATGTTTCTATCTCTCTCTCCCTCTCCCCTCCTTTATGAAATCAGTAAAAATATATTTTTTAAAAAGTTGAGGATCTAATTAAGAGAAAACCAAAATCACAGAACAGTACATTCTTTCACTGACATAAAGATTGTTTTTCAAGAATTCGTAAGTCCCTCCCACCATTCAGGGCACCAGGAATAGAAACTGAATGCAATTAGCTCGCTGCCCCCTGCAGGTGCGCTCATCCCAGAACGTGAACTAGTCTGTCACACAAGCAGAGGGCCAGAGGCACAGAGGGACTCATGTTGGGGAGGAAGACTGGGAGGGGTTCCCAGAGGACACTGAGCTGTCTTACACTGTGGCGCCTCACATCTCCCAGAGAGCCCTCGGCAAGGGGGTGCCCAGCAACAGCGCCACAGCCAGCGGGGAAGGGCACTGGCACACGGAGACCACTCAGGGTGGGACTCAGCAAGGGAGTGTGAGCGGCGATGGAGCCCGAGGGCGGCTGGCGCAAGAGTCTGGAATCTGTCCCCGAAGGCACTACATGCTGAGTATAAGGTGAAGTCTGGGAGGAAGTGATCAACGGGTAAGAATGATAATCAGAGGAGTGTCCTTGTGGTGAAACGGCCCCTGAATGAGTGAGAGCCCACGAAGGTGTGGACTGGGTGAGGCCCCTGCGGACGCCCCACGGAGGGGACGGTGGGTAGAGGTGAGGGGGTGGCAAGGCTTCAATGGGGATATTACGACAGGTGGGTTTTCTTTTCTCAGAAAGAGTGAGTCTCATGGCAACATGCAGCATGGTGAAAACAAGAAAGAAGACACAAAAGAGGTGTCTAGGGGGGTTTCCGATGCACAGGCCCTGATTCCAGCTCCTAGGACATAATGTGTGACTTGGGACAACCTCGATGATTGTGCCTCGAACAGGCTGTATGTAGTATGTGCCAGCACTATCCGTAGGAGCTGTAAAGATAAGTGTAGACACTGTCACGCCTGGCCAAGACAGACTCATGCGGGTCAGTTCAACGTTCAACATGATGTGGAATCATTAACTTCAGGAGCAGAGAGGAGGGACGTAAAACCGGAAATCTGACTAAGCCATTATACCTCTCAGCCTCAGGCTCCTCAGCTACAAAATGAGGAGAGAAGAATAAAGGACGCCAGTGGCCTCGTAAGAATAAACGCCCACAATTCTAGGACACGAGCACTGACAACAACGTCACGTCTCCAAACCTGAGACCGTAAAACCGGAAATCTGACTAAGCCATTATACCTCTCAGCCTCAGGCTCCTCAGCTACAAAATGAGGAGAGAATAAAGGACGCCAGTGGCCTTGTAAGAATAAACGCCCACAATTCTAGGACACGAGCACTGACAACAACGTCACGTCTCCAAACCTGAGACCGCCCCACACTGAAGGAGGTCCCTGCGGAGACGACACCAGCCCGCTCTCCAGTTCTGATCCGCGGTGTCACCGCTTACCTCCGGGGTGGCCTGGGGGACGCGGCAGACTGTCTCCATCCCTCCCAGCTTCCAGTGCCCATCTTCACTCACAAACACAGAGGACAAGCAGACGTTGTTATGCGTTAGGTGGCCCTGGAAAAGAGGAACAGGAAGAAGACTGCCACTCCAATTTTTGAAGTAGAAATTTAAAGAAACTAAATACTAATCACCAAGGAAAAGGCCTGGCCAGTCTTCCTCTTGTGGCATCCTAAGTGGAAATCTGACTTCGGGCATGACAAGCCAAAGGAGCCTGCTCAGCACTGAAGTCAGGGGAAGGGGAGACGCCAGGGACGGGCTTCTGTTACCTCCCCCGCCCCCAGCCTGGCAGGTTAATAAGACACCGAGGCCACTGCTCAGATACCACACCCCGTTCCCACGGGCGTCAGGAGATGCACGTCCCTAAACCCGAATCCACGTCTTCATATCCTGTGCGTTTGCCTCCGATGCCTTTAAACACCAAGTTTCTTGGCTCCCACAGGTTCCTGTTTTAATCTCTCAATTCTCTCTTGCCCACTTTCTATCAGGAACCCAGACCCCTGTCACCGTAAGTCCTAGCCAGTAAGCACGAGGAAATCCCGCCTGAAGAGGAGGAAGGAGATACCCTGGATGACCAGAAACACCACAGAGCACAGCAGAGCCCGAGTCCACACTAGACAAGCAGGCCAGACAAACACGTGAGGGAGGAAGAGCCTGAGAACGGGGATGAAGTAAAGGTTTCTTTTCCAAACCAGAAATCATTCCAGAAACAAGTACATTTTAAATATTTTACCCAGTAGAGCAAATATGTACCTACTTCTATATAAAACACTCCAAGGTATATATATTTTATTTTATTATTATTTAAAAAATATATTTTTATTGGTTTCAGAGAGGAAGGGGGAGGGAGAGATAGAAACATCAACGATGAGAGAGAATCACTGATCGGCTGCCTTCTTCATGTCCCACTCTGGGGATCGAGCCCACAACCGGGCATGTGCCCTGACCGGGAATCAAACTGTGACCTCCTGGTTCATAGGTCGATCAATGCTCAACCACTGAGCAACACTGGCCAGGCGCAAGGTACATATATTTTAAAGGAAGATTTAGAATAGTGTGAATGGTATTTTTCCATTTGAGAAAAAATGAAGGAGAACCAGCACACAGGTTCGCTTTACCAGTACAGACTTCCCGGACGAAAGCCTGAGCGCCAAGGATTAAACAGGACACTGCATTTAAGGAGGGCGAGGGCTGACTTTACCTTACGCTCACTACACTAGTCAGACTTCACCACGTGCACACACTCCTCCATCAAAGGGCATATCCCTCCACAGTGAAGCATGAGTAATTCTTCTATGTGAACCTCAGACACACTTTTAAGAGACGATAAACCCAAAGTGATATTTGGAGACTCAGTCTCCCATTAATAGGAAGAAATTTGAAAACAAACATTAAGATGAGTTAAATGCAAGTGTTTCTAACCTGTGACTGGTGTTTTTAATCTTGGGGGCTGGTCCTACCACATCAGTGTGTAAACTCCACTAAGCAACAGTAACTCTAACCGTCTAGACACGACCCAGCAGTGACCCAGGAGTGGCCACTTTATTCCTGAACTGAAAACGTTGCCACAGAGTCTCTCACTGGTACAACCTACTCGAATGGGAAGAGATGTGTAAAACTCTGCCTCTAAGAAATTATTGCTTTTTTATTTTTTTAAAATTCTTTATTGTTTACAGTATTATATAAGTCTCCTTCTTCCCCCCATTGTACTCTCCTCGGCCATCCCCACCCCCCAGCACATGACCTCACCCCCCTATCTGTGTCCACTGGTTATGCTCAGATGCATGCATACAAGTCCTTCGGTTGATCTCTTACCTCCTCACCCCCTGTGTTCCCTCATAGGTTGAACAGTCCATTTGATGCTTCTATGACTCTGGTTCTATTTTTGTTCATCAGTTTATGTTGTTCATTATAATCCACAAATGAGTGAGATCATGTGATATTTATCAGTTCAATACAGTTTTA